ATGCTTCGTTTACAAACAACACAACCGTTTATTAAACACGAAAGAAGCTTACAAGATTTCCGCGATCTTGGAAGTTCTGCGGCGGCTGCGGCCTCTGGGTCTTCCTCTCCTTTCCAAGATAGTCCCATTTTGAAGGAGTGTCCCTTGTTCGCGAATGAACCATTCCATCACGTCTCGACGACTCCGGGACGATGCGGTCGACTTCCGTTGAGGGAAAGATGTCGATCCGAGGTCGGGAGATGGAGACGAAGATGGGTGCGCGACACACACACAACAACAGGTCCGTCACTTGGAACTTTCGGGAGAAGAAGCCCCGCGTCCTCGAATTTCCGGGGTTTTATCTGTTTTCTCTCAGATTCCCCTTTCCGATTGGTCTCCCGTCGTCACCTGATGACAATTCGAAACCTTTTGGGGGCACGGGAGAGGTCAAAATCGAAGTTTAATTCGATCTGCAACCGGAAATGGTCGACGGACTTACATTCTGCTATTGTTTAAAAGTTAGCGTCGCGTTTTCATATCATAAAAATGTATTTCTAACTACTATATTATTTTTCTAAAACAATTATTTTCCGCGAATTTTAGTGAGGGTTTGGACCTGTCCAGAGCCTCACAATAATGATACTTCCTTTTCATAATAACATTGGGTTCGGAGTGCTGTTGACCCTTTTTTTTTTTTTTTTAGGATGAGAGTTTTCAACTTCTACTTTCCTACTTATTACTTCTTTTTACAAGTCAGCTCAACACTTTTTCGGCTATCACTTTCTGGAGTGGGCCGTACCCACCCAGGCCCCTCCCTGGCGACACCCATCATTCAGACCTAAATGTCAATCAAAAAACCAACTGTACTGTATAGTAAAAAGGTACAGCCTTCTCGCTGAAATTGTAGTTTTTTAATGTAGTGTAGGACCTACAAACACTTGTCTTTTTCTTTTACCCGCGACCCCCCGTGTAAGGCTTTGCGACCCCCCTGGGGGTTGCAACCCACAGGTTGACAAACACTGTTGTATATTAATTATTTTTATTTTACTTAGTCTTGTCTTTCATTTTGTTCTGCATCATGGTTCATGTATCTTCCTTCCTTTCAGTGGAATATATCAAGGTCAAAATCTTTCAATTCAATTCAAAAGAATGAAACATTTGAATGGAAATATTCAGTGAAAATCATTCATTTTCCAATTTTTTATCTGAAACTCTGGATTTAATAGTTTTTATTTGACATTGTTCATTGAAAGCATTTGTTTTTACAAGTTTCAGTTTGAACCTTCAAAGGAATATCCCTGGCAATGGAACAATGAAATTTGAATACCTGTCCTAGCATATCAGTTGTGTATGTTTCATTGTGCTTGTTGAAAAACTCTCACTGACAATGGCCTTAAAAGATCAAAAATGTTTTGAAGTTAACATATAACAACTGAAGTTATAGATTAGTGTCACTTTGATTGCATAAAAACTTTTAAAATTTAATTCAAGAAACAATGAAGATTACATTAATAAAGCATATGTAAAGTACATTCATATTTAGTAATGGTATTTTGACTGTTTAAGTTTTCATTTTTCTAATTCGAGTATCATTTAGTTATTAAAAAAAAAGAGAGAGTGTAGTGATATTTTTCTGTACTTTTTTAATTAATTTTTTAAAATTGCTTTAAATAATATAATTTTAAAAAATAACGTTTTTAAGTTTTAGAGTAGTTTTCTTATGTAAACACAAGATTATGACATAATTGGCATCTATAAGTTTAGAAATAACTGGAGAGATAGATCACAAAAACTCACACCTTTATAAATCCAAGCAATGAATTTAATAAAATAAGAAAGTTTTCAATCAGTTTCACTGATCTTCTTCAGTTACAATTTTTTTATAATTGGCATCTCCCCCAAAATTTTAAACTACTGGAAAAGCTCAATATAGCATTTTTGAAAGTCCCCTACAGTCTATGAAGCAAGTCTACCATATATTAAAATATTTTAAAAATTTTTTCAAAATTTGTTATTCTAGAGATTACTAAAATAAATTAAACACTTTTTTAATCATCAAATTTTATACCTGGGTATACAACTGTTTATTATTCAAATTATTAGCCCAATCAGTAAATCTTTTTGTAGATCCAACAGGAAAACGATTAAATTTGCTTCCAATAATCTGAAGACATTAAAAATATGATTATTATGGGTCATATGAAAAATATGGCCCATAATAATATGTTCAGTAGTTATATAAATAAAAATTTATTTTTAATTTTATTTTATAATATAGGTGTAATTTATATTATGTAATGTTTAACTAAACAAACTTACAGCATCTTTATTCTTACTTGCACTTTCATACTGCTTCTGGATTCGGCAAGGATGCATGACATCATCCTAAAACAACTTGCTATTAATTAAATATCACAAATTGTATTGTATTGATAGAAATCTAAATATTAAAATTCAATAAATGATATTTATTATGCTCAGGGAAAATGTGACAATTTATATAATGTTTATCATCAGAATCAATAAATTTAAATTTGTTGTACAAAAATATTGGGTTGTTCGGAAAGTAATTTCACGGTTTTTTGTTGGGGGAAAAAACAATTTTCTTATAATATATAAATATTTTATTGAATTATATATTGATCATTTTGGTCAGATACCTATTGCCATCTTTCTGGTAGTAGCATCATTCCACGCTTATAAAAGTTCTGATCTTTGCTTATAAAAAACTGATCCAAGTGATTTTTGACATCCTCATTTGAAGTAAATGTTTTACCATTTAAAAAATTTTGTAAAGACCAAAACATGTAATAATCTGAGGGTGCCAGATCTGGTGAATGTGGTGGGTGTGGTAGCACATCCCAAACTTATGTGACATCTGGCATTATCTTGGTGAACATTACACCTTTTCTGTTTGATGGTATCACTCAACTTGTCCAATTGATGGCAGTACACATTTGAATCAGTTGTGGAATTCTCTGGTAGAAGCTAAAAAAAAAAAATTCCCTTAAAATTCCTCCAAAGAGAACATCTCTTTCTTTAAGAACATGTGGAACCCATATATGGAGCTCTGAAATGAAACTAAGTCGTTTCAAGTGACCACAAACGATTCAATTCGACAAATTTAATCTCAGCGATTTCTCTTGTTGTTATTCGGTGGTTTACTTCAATCAATACCTCCTTTATTTTGTCTTCATCAGCTTCAACTAGCCTTCCAGAACATGGTGCATCTTCAATATTGAAATTGCCAGAATAAAATTTTGCAAACCAGTTTTGGCACTCTCGTTCTGTCAACACATCATCTCCATATATATAACACAATTTTTTTCTTGCTTAAACAGCATTTTTATTTTTTTTAGTAATAAAAAAGCAAAATATGCCAAAAATGCTGCAACAATTGCACAGAATCAAACAAATTTTTTTACAAATAAGCCTTGAAATGTCAGCTGTCAAAATATATAATGACAATATGATTTTACAATGAAATTGCTGGGTAAAAATACAATAATTCCTCTGGTGATAAAAAAACAAAATTATTTTCCAAACAACCCAATAAAAGAAGAATCAATTATTATAATTAACTAGATACACTCACAGATGTATGTGTGTGTGGTAGTCCCTAAAATATATAATTATATATATGTATTTTATACAGATAAAAATAGTCTAACATTAACAATGTGTTTTCTTTATATACCATTATGACTACTTTATTGCTGTATGCAGATAAAATATATACCTTTTTCTTTCTAGGAATATTATGTGGATTTTTATAATTTTGGTATATTAAGGATATATTGGCAATATTTTATTAGTTATTCCATTGTTGTGTGAAATTCAACTTGTGAAAGAATTCTGGAACATGTCCTTATCTCTTATGTACAGAAGGGACAGGATGCATATAGAAATCAACAATATAAAATACAGAGTACGAAATATTTATTCTTGAATTGATGAAACTTTATTGTATTATTTATTAATTTACATTAAACTCTCATAAGTAAGTATAATAAATAATTACTTACAGCATCCAAAAAACAAAGATATTGTCCATTACTTTGTTCAACTGCTCTATTTTTAGCATAGCCAACTAAATAAAATACATTTCATATCAAAACTTAAATATCAATAAAAAATATATATACTTTTTTTTAATATAGTGGGTGATCAGTTAACAAACATAATCCATTCCAAGACCATGTTTGCTATCCAAATTATTCATTAACCAATTATCGATTTACCATAGATTTTGGTGGGAAATTGATTAACTCATTCTGGAGATCCCAAAAACTAAATAAAAAATTATATACTTTCTTACTATGTTTATTTACATGTAATAACAAACTAAAAGTAAACTCTCCATTTTTTCATGGATAGTACGTACATCTTTGTTTCTCAGATGCAATTTTAGTTACTCCTTAATCAGCTTGATTCTTTTTATTATATCTTTCTTAGCTAACATTGTGCTTACTGTAGACTTGTTGAAGTCATCTGCTTATAATATCAGATATCTTCTGCCCACTCTCTACCTTGGCTATTATCGCTTGTTTAGTTTTTATAGTGAACACAGTTCATGACAATCACTCTTTTTAGGCTCCACAACATTATCAGTTTTTTAAATAAAAAGTTCAGAAAAGCATTTACAAAATTCAGATAACAGAGATTAACTAGTGCAAAAAAGGTTATGTATACAAAGGTGAAAGTCTTGTTCCATAAACCATACATAGATGCCATTAAAATATAGTTTTACAAGTCTTAAATGCAGCATCACTTCTTCTTGTGTTTGTTCTGTCAGGTATTCATTATTCGAACATGTGTTTGTTGTCCGTACATAAAAATCTTTCACAAAAGTGTTCATTGTCCCATTTGTTCACAATCTGAACTGTTCATTAACCGATCACCCACCATAATTTAAATTTACAATTTTAATTTAAAATACTGATATATATCAGATTTATAATTATATATTTAATAATTTTATATAGGCAATAAAAACTCCATAAATTTAAAAATAACTGAATCAAAATCAACAACTTATTTATCACAAAATAACCAAAAAATATAACTACTTTTCAGAAAAGAAATATTTATTTATATTTAACATTCTTGGACTCATCAGCAGAATATATTGTTAAAATTTAAAATCTTTTAATGGCTAAAGTAAATATTTTATTTCAGTCAGAAAACTAACCATCTGATGAGTACTTCTATAATTACTTGTGATTCATGTAGTGGTTTGTATGTACAGAATAAGCACATATACATATGTTCTTCAAGTATATATCTCTGTAGTATGGTCGTATATTTATAGGCAAACTTAAAACCTTACAGACAACTATGACAGCTATTGACAAATCTAGAATTTATTTTATGGTTTTTTTTTAAGTTTTATTAGATTTAAATAGAATTTTCCAGCATAAAATCAAACATAGCAGTCATTCACACATGCTGTCTCCTTCTGAATTGTTGGAGTTATTCAACACAACTGAATCAGAAAAAGAAAATATTACCTAGTTTATTAAAAAATATTAATTAGAAGACAAGACAGTAATTTTTTCATAAATGCTACATTTTAAAAACTCTCACTGGATGGAAATGGAGCCACTAGTAAACCCACATCAAAGGGATAATATGAAAAGTGGTGAAGAGATGATCCAACATTTGTTCTTTAACACAATCTTTACTTAAATTACAATAGCAGAAAATAACATATAAAAAGAGAGACCAATGCATGATTATCCTCTGTGAAACAAGTGTTCAAGTGTTCAATGTGACCATTATTATGTATGGCAACTTCTTCAACATAAATTGTGATGAAGTTGATCACTTCATCAATAAGTAAAATGTATCAAAGATTTAAATATATATAAACAAATATAAGTATATATATACTTATATTTGTTTATTTATTCCAGAAATGATCTTTTATGCTTTCCTAGTGAATAAATTAAAGCAAAAGAAAAATACCAATAAAAATAACTTATTTAAAATATTTGCTTTTAAAAAAGATTTAAATTTAAAACTATAAGAATAAAGTTTAACAATACATAGCTGAAATCAAATATATATAATAAATTAAACAAATATTGAAATTATGAAAGATATTTATTATTTTCTCTCAATGTAGATACACTAAATTAAAATAACTTTAAACATGGAAGATTACTTGGAATATCAAAGTATTTAAGTTAATAATGATGTATGCAGTGTGAAGAAAAGTTTATTTTCATGCTACAAGGTTACATAATAATAATAGGGTTACCATATCCATACTTAGTATGGACAGTCTATACTTTAAAGGCTCTGTCTGTGTCTGTATCATACTTAGAAAAAACAAACAAAATATTTACACTTTTCAACTGATTGCACAGTTAATAATTAAATCATAACCACTTAGATTTAAATCTGACAAAAGGTGCTACATTTTTGATAATTATTATTGTATTTGTTGGCTAGGTGGCACATTGTATAAGCAAATTTAATAGCATTCTTATGATATCATGGTAATAGCATGATGTCACAAGAATGCAAGAGAAGCTCAAAGTTTCAAATCTTATGTTCTAACTGACGTTACAAATTATGCTAAACCTGAAAAAGGCTATTTAAGATAGCTGAAAACGTAGGTTCATTTAATTTAATTTAAAAAAATTTGCTGGAAATGTGAAAAAGGTGTTTTGCAATAATATATAGAGGTTCTAGCTTACTGCACATAGAATTGTAAACTCATTCACTTTTTGTGTTTGGAATTTTTAACTTAAAAAACCTTAATACAAACTTCTAGACTAATTACTGGTACATACATACATACAACACTGCTAAACCTTTACTTCCAGTAAGATATTATAGGTAAAAGAACAAACGTTTTCGATCTTATCTAAGATCTATCTCAGGTTCTTGGGTCAATTGAGTTCCAATTATGGAATGCTAAGGTTCAAACTATTTAACAAAGTTTGGATTTTATCTATAATAACTTACCAGAAGTAAAGGTTTAACAGTGGTGTATTTAAAAACCTTATTAGTATCTTCAGTTAAAAATACTGCTATTTTAAAATATCAGTATTTTTAATTGTACTACTACTTTAACTGAACAATGTTAAAATAGCCTAAAATATTAACTTAACTTTGTGTTACTTCAACATTTCTTTTAGTTTTCTATTGTATGATACAAGTAGTAATAATACAACATCACTATCGCATATATCCCAAGAAACTTAGAAAGTAATATGCCCAATGATTGCTGGATTAAATTGGGCTACTTCTCTGTTGTTATTTTAATTAATTTTCAAATAATTTGTCACTAGAAGCAGGTATTAGGTGCCATCCAAAATCAAATATATATAATAAATAATTCAGAAAGTAATTTTTTATTAAATTCATATTATTGAATTCAGGAGATCATGTATTGTACATGATGTATTTCATGAACAGAATTAATATGAGAATAAGTTTGAATTTTAATATATTCAAAAATCTTATATTTGATATATTAGGAACTATAGAAATTCATAAAAATAGCTTTGCCTTTTAAACCTTTCAACTTAGATTATAAAATACATCTTATAATCTTAATTATTCTTTAATTGAGAAAGTAAATACATTGCAATTTAATAGTGTGGTTTGATGGAATAAGAGTGATTTGCCAAGGGAGATAGACGTCTTTCAGGAGGACATTTTATGGAAAACTGATCCCTATTTCAGTGTCAGACATGAATGAAACCTGAAAAATCCACATGGCCAGCCCACTGATCAGGCAAAAACCCAGGACCAAGCTCACTGATCTTATCCACTCTGCCACTGATGGGCTCTGCAATCTAATTAAGAGATTGTAATATATTTATTTTTAAAATTTTAAACTATTTACTTACCTCCATTAGGTATAGACGATTTTCCTTCTGAAATAACTACTTTTATATTTTCTTTCTGTAACTTATCCAACCAAGATTTTAATATATCTTGTGAATTATCCTAAAAATAAAAATTCTAAATATTAAAACAAAAAATTTAAAACCAATATACACACTGAATTAATATCTTTAATATCTGCTTGTTTATCTGTTATATATATAACAGATAAACAAGCAGATATTAATTCAGTGTGTATATTGGTTTTAAATTTTTATAATAAGTAATTTTTATATTTTTATTATAATANGTACATAATAAATAGTTGATATTTAAAATATGCATCATTATGCATATTTTAAATATCATATTATGCTTATTATAAAATTATGCATATATATGCAGAATTAAAATAAATTTTAAATTTAATTCTAATAGAATGAAACTGTAAAACATTATTTTAATATAAACTGTTTATAAAAAATCAAAAATAAATTATTATTTCTTTAATAAAATGGATGTTACATGGTGCGTTTCAGCAGATTTTGAAAAATATAATTACATATGTGAATGAAAGGCATTAGGTTATTGATGAGTTGATTTCCATCAGATCATTGAAGCTAAGCAGTGAAGAGTTAGCATTCCAATCAGAGATATAGGAAAAGATAAGTTGTTTTTGTTACTTCCAAATTCAGATAAAAAGAAGAGAAGTTCATATTATAAAGGGCAGAAGGGCAAGGTCTGTCTAATCTGACTGTTCCTTAAACAAGTAACAGAAAACCTACTCAAAATTGATTAGTAAAAGATCAGAAGAAAGAGGCAAACGTCTTTTTGTAGGTAATGAATAATTTTTCATTTATAAGAAGTTAATTTCATATTTTATCACTTAATTTTAGGTTTACAAAACTTTTTAAAATGTTTTATAACACTATTTAAAAATTTAAAATGACAAAAAATAAATATACTGATGATTATAACGTTATTAATTTTAAGTTTATTTAATGAAACAGCATTTTGTGTAATTAGAAAATTCATCATCATCATAATCATCTGCTTAGTGCAATAAAATGTAACAAGGTTTTGTTAAAAATTGCACCATAACAAAGTTACTGTTCTATGTTTGATGATTATCACAATGATATTAGCTGTCTAAAATATCTTGCAGGGCAATAAACATATTAATTATGCCATTAATTACTGTTTTGCTGGGTATAATAACATAATTACATAATTTACACAATGCTTTTTCATATGTTAATTAGTATTATTATGCATGTCTTATTTAATTATCAAAATAAGCTTCTTAAGAATGTTGTGAAAATAAAAATGTCCATCAACATGTAGAACTGTGACAATTACTCATCCTATTATAATATAAATAAAATTGACAATTATAAATCATCTGTTTATATGGTTCTAGAATGTTCCATCACCCATTGTTTCCTGGAGGGCAATAAACCCAGTGGGGGAGCAGTGAAGTTGTATATGTTGACACATGGTTGGGAGAGAGACTCTTTCTTTTCAGTGCCATCACAGAAGGAATATGAAGATAATCAATGACAATGATATCTGTGCAAAGGAAAAACTAAAAGAGTGAACAGACTCTGCTCAACAAGGTGACTAGGACAGAGCAGTGATTATGTGGCATGGAGTTTAGAGGAAATTCTTTTATTGTGTCTCCTCTTTGTTTGACTGTGTGCTGATGGAAAGATTTTAGTGTAAGAAAGAAACTTTGTGAAATTAGACTAATATTTCATTGTTGTGACCAGATGAATCAACTGATTGTAATGAGAACCTAAAGATTTGTGTACTATGAAAACCCTCTGATAATTGTTTATATCGGATTTAGTTGAGAAAATAAACTCTTACAAAACAATTTTCCAAACCCTGAATGATCTATGTATTAAATATAACAAATGGACAATGTATTACATTTCTGGTACATAACTCTGCTATGATACAAATTTTAATGAAAATGTTTTTATTTTCATATTGAACATATTTTTGTTTACTTTTTCACTCTATGTTAGTGGCACTAAGAACATCTTTTCTAGAAATACATATCACGTGTTTGGTAGACCCCAATTAGTACAGCCAAGTAGTGAGGAACAGAGCCAGACATTTCCAGAACAACTGAATGTGAAAAATTCTTAAGGTTCTCTACCCAGACTAGAACCCAGATCCCCAAAGCAACAAAATGATGCATTTACATTCCTTGGCCATCTGTTCAAACTGTTATAAACTAAAACAAAATACACCATTCATACTTACTCCAGCACAAGATTTTAATAGAAATATAAACATTTTCAGCCATATTTAGGGACCTTCATTGGTAATATAGCTGTTTCATAAATTGAACACATTTCAAAAAGGTTTGGAAATGTGTTCAATTTATGAAATGGCTATATTACATGATGAAGACCCCTGTATGTCAAAAACATTTGTATGAGGTGGTGTGGATAGAAAATAACAAGACTGAAGCTGGAACTTTCAATCTTGAGTAGTATACTCACCTTAGTTCTGTTCCCCTTCAATGTACAATCCTTCTGCTTCCACATAGCACTGCATTCACAACTTCCACTGATCATAACAATGCTGCAGGTCACCATTTGTAAGGCTATGCAAAAGCTCCATTGTTTTTTCTTGACAGAAGAAACTGAATCAAAATGGCATCCCTTCAGAGCAGACTTGACTTTAGGGAAAAGGTAAATGTGACATGGAGCTAGGTCAGGTGAGTATGGTGGATGTTCAAGTAGTGTGACTCCCTTCTTGGCCAAAAACTGCTTCACTGACAGAGTTGAATAGGCTGGTGCATTGTCCTGATGGAGGATGAAACCATTTTGCCACAAGTGTCGCTGCTTTCTTCTGACCCTTTCCTGCAAAGATTCCAGAACTTCTTTGTAGTAGTACTGGTTGACAATTTGTTACACTTTTCATAAATTTTCCTCGGTTTTTGATGTGCTGGGCCATCTAGAATGTTCAGCAACTTTCACATCCTCTCGGCCCTCAGAAAATTTTCTGTGCCATTCAAACTCATGCGCACGACAAAACGTGTCTCTATAAACTTCAAATAGTAGGTGCAAAGATTCAGTGGCAGTTTTTTCAATTTCAGCAAAAATTTCAGGTGAATATGCTGTTCCATTTTCAAACTGGCCAATTTTCCAACACACGCTAACAACATGTCCACTCACAGAAATCTAGTAGCAGTAGCAAGTTGAGACTCAGTGCTTGTTCTAACTTGTTCAAGGTCATATACCCACCCACTAATTTTGGTCCATATGCAACTGTTGTGTGCAGGCAATCACAGTCTCATTATTTTCTAGCTACACCACATATTTCTATTAAAATCTTGTGCTGGAGTAAATACAAACAGAATATTTTACTTTAGTGTCAACTGTTACATTGTGGTTGTTCGTGCTGAGAGATAGTAAAGCCCACGAACAAATGTTACTAAGAGGAATACATAAAACAGATATACAATATAGTATCCTTTATTTTTCTCTGAACTTGTTCTTTTAGTACAGATCCCAACTTTACAGGTGCCAATATTACTAATTAACAAAAAGAGTACACTCATCTGCCCGTAAGTATATGGGTAAAGAGAATGTAACATACGGTATGCACCTAATCAACTTATAACTATTATTATACTTATCTTAAACCTAAAGAAAAAAAGATGAGAAAAGAAGGGACTCAGGATAGTATATCAGATAGACAGACAAAGGTAGAAAATACCCGGGTTTCCTTGTGTTGGTAGACTCTATTGAGGAGGGGGCCTTCTCAATTTTGCTTTCGGATGTTTTTCTCTTTCACAAACTCAGTGCCTCAGAGATCTCCTGTTGTATTCACTGTCCTCATGACCCTTCCCTCTTAATTCATCGACCTCTACGGCTTTCTTAGACTTTGCAGTCCCCTTTGTTCTTGTCCAAGTCCAGAGCCCTGCCTTGTCCTACTGACTCTGACTACTCACTCTGAGATCTTGACCAAGAATGAATCTTTCATTGACAGTTTTGCCTTTCTCTTGTTTTCCCCAAAATTCTGAGAAACCTTAATCCCCTATCCTTTGTTCTACCAAGAGTTCTGATAAGAGATAATCCCTCCTTCAGGCAATCAGAGTTAAGACGAAAGCTTCTAGAAGGATGTTATTACAAAAAGGGAAGAACAGAATATGAAGAAAATAAAAATACAGTAGAGTCCCATACGTGGGGGATCCATTACATGTTATACAAAATTGCGTTATTGAAACCTGCATTATTACATGATTTATGAATATTTACACCTAGCCTATAAGTTGAAAACAAATATATAACCTTTGAATGACAGAATTTGAGTGTGTTGCTTGTTTTATGTGCACGTTGTACAGGACTATTGTATAGCTAAAATAACTATAACAATATGGCTGACGGCCACATCATCTTTTAAGTTAATTTAGACTGTTCAATATAGATGGCCAAGGGAATCTATCCAGAAAAACATTCAATTAAACAATTTGAGTTAAAAGATGTAGCACTCGTAGCCATTGTATTTAATTTATTTTTACTATAATATACAAAATTTATAAGTCTATAGTTTTCAAACAATAAATAATATTTTGGACAGTTTTCCTAAATCAAAATGTATAAATAAATGATTAAATTATTTTATATATCTTATTAATTAAAACATACTTATTTATGTACAGTCAACCCCCCTATAATTACGGTCCCTATAATTACGATTCCTATAAAACTACGAAAAAATATACGTATTTTGGAAATGTTGCGTCGGATTAGTGTAGAATCGATTAATTTTATGGAAGAAAACCTTTCAATCAGCCGTAGTCCGTAAACTTGACACGTGTCGGGCTGTGATTGGAACGACTTGTAAGAAATCGGATTCCTAATAAATTGGAACGTATCTATATCTTATAGGGGGGTCGACTGTATATTTAATATTTAAAAAAACTTAATATATACTTTATTATTAATTAAAGCAATGGATAAGTCTAAGCGTAGTAAACTAGAACTTTATATAATAATAAGTTTCATAACACCTTTCTTTCTTTTTTTCAATTTTATTCATGTTTATTTCTATATTTATTTATTTATTCTATTAGAAACCATGACATCACAAGATCTTAATGTTTTAAATTTACGTTCTGATTTATTTTATAACTGACGTTCTATTTTTATTTAACCTGAAGATGGCCATTCAAAATAGCCAAAAACGCTACTTACATTAAAGAAATTGTTACAAAAAAGAAACGTATTACAATAAATAAGTTTAAAACATACCTTACTGGCATCAAAATAAACTGACAGTTCTAGTTTTCCATTAAATTTTTGATTGGCAACTGAAGCTAAACATTCATCAAACCATTTCTCAGCATTATGAACAGGTAGAACAATAGACTGTAAATAAAAATCATTCAGAATTTGTATTCACACTATTAATATTCAATTAAATATACTAAAAATTTAAAAAATATATATAAAATATATCTATTATGCAATTCCAATTTAACTTTATAGCAGTGAATAATTTTGGTCTATTGAAGATAGATCCTCACTTTTACATTACCGAATCAGAAATCTTTTATTAAATTAAAATCTTTTATTTATGGTATTTTCTATAAGCTTAGTATCATAAATTGAGTATATTTCCAGAAATAAACTTTGAACTATATAATACCATAACACTGAGATAACCAATGAAAAAGATATTACCTAATATATAATAGCAAGATTCTACTGTACACTTTCTTTTCAGATATATAGATACAGATCAAACAAACTGTAGACAAAAAAATTGAATCACAAGAATTCCTTAGCATTTAAGATCTAATTTCTATAGCTCTATATAAATGGATATCTAGTTTCTACAGATAACATTGGGCCAATGCTCAAAATTATATGCAACTGTAGAGCCTAGAGCCAGAACTACATCTTATTGACTTTGTTGTATATCAATGAAATTAGCCTTTAAAATTGCCATTAAATCATATTTGCTGTTGGATTTAAATATTGTCATTATATTATAATGAAATATAACTCAAACATTTAAATAAACTATTTTCAGAGTTTTAACCAATAATAGACTATATTTTCAAAGAGTGGAAAGAATGAAAATGTGGACTTGTATAATTCTGGCTGTAAGCCCTTCAATTTGTCACATTTATAACATTTATAAAAAGCTCAACATCACCTTACCAACGGGGATGAAATCAACACTATATCCAGGACCTGTTATGGTGTATATCGTAAGAAAATCTTTCTTCACAAACGTTTTCAAACTTTTTAAAATAGTTCTTCCTCAGGTAAAATCCAATGGAATGCTTCAAAAATAGAATGTAAAAATTTAAAACAAAATCGAATGCTTGTTTAACGAAACCCATTGTGATGGGATGCACATTCATGTGTAGATGGTGGTATTTAAAGTCCATCATCTATAAGGGCCTGTCATGCTACCGTTAGATTAAGTTCATCCTTTTGGTTGATACAGGTGGTCATGTGACTAGCTCTGTAGATGGATATGGCTTCTAGCCATTTTATATGTTCTAGGTGGGGTGTAGTGATGATGGCATCGACTTTGTCAAATTCCGCCTCAATGTTCGGATCAGAAGCACATGTGGCCAGGGCAGTGGTGTGTCGACCATGTCAAAGGTCCACTTGGTGCTCACATTTTCTGGTATTTAAGGAGTGTTTGGTGGAACCGATATATATGTCTCTTGTCCCATCTGCCATCCTAGAACATCTAAAATGGCTAGAAGCTATATCCATCTACAGAGCTAGCCACATGACTACCTGTATCAACAAAAAGGATGAACTTAATCTATCGGTAGCATGGTAGGCCCTTATAGACAGCCTTTAAATACCACCATCCACGCACAAATGTGCATGCCTGTCACAACAGGTTTCATTAAACAAGCATTCGATTTTTTTTAAGTCTTTATGTTTTTGAAGCATTCCATTGGATTTTATCTGAAGAACTATTTTTAAAAGTTCAAAAAGGTTTGTGAAGAAAGGTTTTCTCACGACATACACTGGTAACAGATTCCAGATGTAGTGTTTATAACATTTATGATAAAACTCTTGATAGATTTGTTTATCCTTTTTCTACACAATCATTAATAATAATACAAATCTTTACTGCTTTAATTCTATTATACTAACTATAGTACATCAGTCAGTCCTTGACTGTATTAGTAAGAACATAATTAATATGAAAATGATGCCAATGCCAAATTCTTTGAAAAAAAAATATATGTAATATAATTTATTTTATATATATGTATATATACTTTTTTATTTATTTATTTTTAATAAGAACATATTTTAATTCTAGTTGATTTATTCATAACTTCTGAATGTTGCTTGCTGATTTTCATTTCCACACACTGCAGAAGGCATATAACCCTTTCCCCACCCCGAATTGCCATCACCATTTGTGACATTTCACCTAATTACCCCTAAGCAACTAAAACAGTATATACTTCTTCCTTAACTCGTACTTAACAATCTTTACTGTATAGATTATTTATTTAATTTGTTACTAACCACATCAACACAGTTCATTTTGTAAACTAAAAAATTATAACATTGAGAAAAATAAACTATAACAATAATCTCTGTGCTAAAGATAAAACCTATTGTTATTCGTATTACTATCTACATTCAAACAGAATTCAACTTTGGCAACTGATATATTAAACCACGTTGCATAAAAATAAAAACCTGCCACCTCTCGGAGATGGAGATTTCAAATTGAAAAATTAATTTTAGTTTTAGTAATCATTAATATTAGAATCAAGTTATAATTTATTTTTATTCTATTAAACGTAATTTTTAATAAAAATAAATTCCGTGGTTTTATTTTTATTTTTTTAAAAATTGCATCGTTGTGCGAATACGAGGACTTTAAACAAGAAGCATGTAAGTAACAGTACCAATGATTTGAGTTTGTTTAGAAATAGCCTTAGACTTTATAGAATTTATAATGCTATGGTCATATCACAGATTTTGGTTATAGGATCACTCTTTTTCGTTCGACTGGACAGTAACAGTTCAGCTTAAACTATTCATCACAAATTATGAAGATTTGATTCGGATTCGAACTCGGATTCTTCGTTACAATAAGTCGCCGCATCGCGCTGCCATCTGATCCTTTTCACGATTGACTGTCGGATAGCCAAGGCGGTTAAGTCAGCGTACCGCTCTGGGGACCCATAATCTAGTTTGGGCCAGCAGCTGCAGAAATTTTTAATAAGTAGTTTTCCCGGATATTTGGATTTTCTAAAATATAAAATATTATTATCGTTATTCGTATAAGGTGATGGAACATGCAGAATTGTTTTTAATGATCAACAGCCGGTATTAAATATCGGCTATCAGTTCTTCTTACGCTGTCAGCCGGTATGACTTACCGACGCTTTCCGTCCGTAAAATGTCCCCCTGTAGGAACTGATCCCTCAACACCCGGTCATCCCGTGGGATTGGCCGAACTCACGATGGGTACGCAAGAAAGACTCTTAGTGTCCGCAGGGGAAAAAATCAATAATGAAAAATTTGATTTATTCAATCATTTCAAAAAATTTTAGTTTATAATCTAAAGAGTTAAATTAAAAATAATTTAAATTTTTAAATCAGTAACATTTTCACATAAAGAAAATAAAGATTAAAAAAATACAATAAAATAATTTCGTATTAATTTATAATTTTACAGCAAAACATAATGACGTCATCTCTTATACAAATTTATTTATTTTTAATAAGAACATATTTTAATTCTAGTTGATTTATTCATAACTTCTGAATGTTGCTTGCTGATTTTCATTTCCACACACTGCAGAAGGCATATAACCCTTTCCCCACCCCGAATTGCCATCACCATTTGTGACATTTCACCTAATTACCCCTAAGCAACTAAAACAGTATATACTTCTTCCTTAACTCGTACTTAACAATCTTTACTGTATAGATTATTTATTTAATTTGTTACTAACCACATCAACACAGTTCATTTTGTAAACTAAAAAATTATAACATTGAGAAAAATAAACTATAACAATAATCTCTGTGCTAAAGATAAAACCTATTGTTATTCGTATTACTATNCCACCTCTGGTATATATGTTAATAAAATTTATATTTTTTGATACGCAGACGACGTAACTGCGAAAGAGACCATCCAAGTGTGGTGTCGTGATTGTGAGTCATCAAATAAATTACATTACACATCTCTGCAATTGTATTGGTAATTATAACAAAAATAATGTTCACTTGGACTTCTTCTAACTTCGATAAGCTTTTAGGTAAGTTTTATTCAATCCTAATTCACAAATTATGTAAATTTAACTAATTTAAAAAAAAATTCTCATCAGCTGAACATTTGTTTACAATATTTTCTAATTTTCTGAAATGAAATTTGATTGACAAATAATAATAATTTCACATTCGGAAAATGATAAAAATTTAAATTATAAACTCAGACGGTGATATTAAAAAGTTTATTATGTGAAAAAATGGCAGAAATGTTTTGTTGGAATTTTAATGGAATTTTATTTATTTAATTTTTTTTATGTACCGAAGCCTTGAACAGTTAGTAAGCAATTAATCAGGTCTATAGAGGTTACTTTTAGCTTTTTATATATTTACATAAACATAGTACATAAGAGTAACTTTACCATTTTTTTTTTTTATATTTATAACTAAAATCCTGTTTTGTTTTTTCTTCTTTACAGCTTTTCTACGAATAAAAAATAAACAAAAAATGTTACGGGTAATCCTGCAGTTTACGTCGGTCGATGCCGATTGCAAATTTTAAAAAATTGTTATTAAAAATATATAATATGAAAATTCTAATATATCTATAATCGTAATTATTACAGAAATTGCTTTTAGCCCTAGGTATAATTATATTATTTAAAATATCTATAACTGCCAGGCAGATAATAGTAAGGGCTTATCACACCAATGATAATGGGCACAAACACTCAAGAATCAAAGTAAAACATTTTATTGTACACCCCTGTTTTTGTTTTATTAAATGTTTTACTTTGATTCTTGAGCGTTTGTGCCCGTTATCATTGGTGTGATAAGCCCTTACTATTATCTGCCTTGCGGTTATAGATATTTTAATTAATTTAATCTATGATTGTCGTTAAATATTTGAAAATCTTCTTTGATTTGTAAGTAATAACAATATTGTACAAATGTCTTAAACCTGACGTTATTATTTGGAGTCGAACAATTGCCATAAACGAATTACTTATAATTTAATTATTAATGGTGGGTAAATAGCTCCGTACTTCACGGCAGTCGTTTGGCTGCTTCTTTAATCACAATTAAAAATATCTACGTAATTTATCTGTGTAGTTGGTGTTGACTGACGTAAAGTGTGGAATTATTTTTTTTTAGTCTAAATAATAAATATCTCTAGCAACAGAATCTTAGTGACAGTTCAAAAATTCAGATAAAAATAAAAAAGATGGAATCAAATTGTTTAAAAGTACTAGTGCACTTTTCTAGTACTAGTATACTAGTTTTCTCATTTTGACTCTGATAAAGCAGTTTTTATTTTAGTTTTATTTATCTAGTATCTTCTGGACTTTAAATACAAACAACTTAAAATACTTTATTGAAAGTTAAACTACGTGAAATTCCACTTTCAAAGTGCTTTTGAGCTCTAGCGTAATGCACGTCTTTAAAGAAAATGTATACATACTTAAGATGTTTAAGTTATAAAAAGCATTTATGCAATGTAACAAAATATAGAAACTGGATGAACTTCCCTTCTAATACTGGAGGTAATATAATTCTCTCAACTAAAAAACCTTTCAATCTTCAATGTTATTCTTCTTGGCAAACGTTTTCAACTCTACCAGGGTCTTCTTCAGGCCACTGTTTTAATAAATTCAAACAGTACAAAATCAAACAGGAACCAAATAAAAGCGATTCAAATCCTAGAACGTCAACGTTAATATCAAAAATATAGAACACCACATGGTGGTGTTCTATATTTTTGATATTATTGTATTTTTGTAAGTGGAACCTTGCTTAATTAATGAGCATAATTTGTTCCAGAATTTTACTCGTAATGCAAAACACTCATTAAGTGAAACAATTTTTCCCATATAAATTCATGTAAGATAAGATAATGTGTTCCATGCCGAAAAAAATACTCAAATATTTTATGTATAACATTTATTCAAAGAAAATTATACAATATACATTGTTAAGGAGCATGNAGATAAGATAATGTGTTCCATGCCGAAAAAAATACTCAAATATTTTATGTATAACATTTATTCAAAGAAAATTATACAATATACATTGTTAAGGAGCATGAATTATCATTATTTCTTCTAGTGCAGAATGAATCTACCTGGAATGTGAATTTGATTTGCAGAAACAAAAAAAAAAAATCAAAATACAGTAATTTCTAATATTTAATTAGGCCTATAGCCCATTGGCAATGGATAGAGAGAAATGGAAGAATTAGTGGAAAAGGCATCAGACTCCAAGCAATAAGCCCAGGGTTAATGATGATGAATTATAGCCTTTATATAGCCAAAGAATTTGGCATATCATTTGGCATTGTATTATATAACAGGCTATGGTTGTTGATGTTTATATGTGATATGTCTGAACACAAGTTTGGGGAAAATGTGTGATCACAAACGACACTAAGATGCTAGCAGAACGAGTGCTAAACACAAACTGATGTAGCGTGCGCACAATCTGGGACTTTCCTTTTCCTTGTCACTCGTTATGCGAAACATCACTTGTTAATTAAGCGAGTCATTTTTTTATAATTTGTTTTGCTCATTATGCGAATTACTCGTTATGAGAGGTGCTTATTAAGTGAGGTTCCACTGTACTGAAAATTTCTTTCCTTTTCCTTGTCACTCGTTATGCGAAACATCACTTGTTAATTAAGCGAGTCATTTTTTTTATAATTTGTTTTGCTCGTTATGCGAATTACTTGTTATGAGAGGTGCTTATTAAGTGAGGTTCCACTGTACTGAAAATTTCTTTCATCCATATAGTTTTGTCTATAGTGATTCTCCCTATTCTTACTGACACCCTGGAAATATAAAATTGTTTCAGTAGATAAATATGTTCTCATTTAAGACATTTTGCCCTAGGGAAGAATTGTCTTTTACTATACACCTCCCTCTAAATTGTTTGATGTAAGATAGTGCTTCAAATTATCCTAATATACTTGAAGATGAAATCAACTAGGACATCTTTGGCCAGAATTCTATATATCTTGTTTTTCTTTAGAGGTTCTATTGATTATTTATCATTTCTTAAAATGATAAAAAAAACTATGAAGTAGTCGTTCTAAATTGTAACATGATTAATGTTCCAGCAAGTGTCTCATTAGTAGGCATCCAGAACAGAGGAACTAGAATCTTGTCATTATGGTTTATAAGTATGGTTTGCATAAGAATGATTTTCAAGCACACTTACATATTTTTGTAAGTGTGCCTGAAAATAAGTTCAAATGATACCATAGTACTAGGTTATATTTCTGTTTTTTTTATTTTAATCTATATATATATATATAAAAATGGACGTGTGTGTCCCTATATTTCACTTTTCCGCAAAAACTACACATTGCACATGAATGGTGTTTGTATGTGGTAATAGCCCCAAGTCTCCATTCGTGCACTATGGTGGTTGTGTCTTGATAGCTATAAGGGTGCGAGAGATATGGGCTTGAAAGTGGTTGAAAGTGGAAGATTTTCTATTTCAATTTTAAAAATTTTCGAATTCGAATTGGTTTGATTATAGAACGATTGTAAACGTTCCAGAAAATTGATCAAATTGAAAATAGTTCGTTTGACTGGACGTAAAAATTCTCTAATTAGTCTGGAAACGGGGGACCTAATTCTTGCATTCTGTGAAAACGGGTAAGATTGGCTATAATGCAATTATCTTAATCTTTACTATCGTTACTTTTTGCCCACAAATAAAAACCCAGCGAAGCGGGTCCTTGCAGCTAGTTCCATATAAAACCAAATCTGATAGTCCTATATGTTAATAATCAAATGATACAGCCAGATTCTTAGGCTATAATATGGCTAGTTAGTAAGCCATATCATAGCCTGATAAGAATCCAACTGTATTAGTTGAAGTTATTTTATATGTTGAATAATTTACTAATTCAATTTTTTTTTGTCGAAGTAAGTGTTCTTCCAGTTTATGCAATAACCTTTCAATCCTCTAAGCTATTTGAGTATCTAGCCAATTTAGAAGAATGCAATACCATAATGTTGTAAATGCCATTTTTCTCTAAATGTTTTATTGAAGAAATGAATTCTAAATGCAATGTTATCTGCTGCAAAAAAATACTGTGCTGATAATGGTGTAATAAGTGGCTGTATTTTGAAATTAAATTCGTGTGCAAATCATAATGTTTTAAATGCCAAAGTGCAAGTTTTGTGACTTTTAGTGCTTAAAACATTACGGCTTATGTTTACATCATTTTGTTATTCAAAAGAATTTGTAACTTAGTGAGTTTTTTACCATTTTATTGTAAAATTGAAATGAATTCCTTCAAGACTTGAAAGAATTCATTTACTAGAAAAACTGTTTTTTATACTAAATCTACCATAAGCTGGAATTTTTGTAAATTATATATTAAAAAAAAAATCATTTTTTTTTTAATACATTTTCAGCACTTCTTTATAGTTCTAATAAACGTTTTCAGCTTGATTTACAGGCTTTCTTCAGGTTAGAAGCCGTTCTAATTAGGAGGAGTTATGCTGTGTTCCAAACGGAACAATTTAAACTCCTCCTAATTAGAACGTCTTCTAATCTGAAAAAACAGTGGTGTGTGTATATATATATATATATATACATATGTGTATGTATATATACACACACACCACTGTTTTTTCCCTTCTCTCCTGAAAAGTGTTTTTTGACATCTAAAGCATTGTGGCATTGCACACTTCATTTATCTTTTATTGAATACTTTTATTATTTTCATTCTTCACTAGACATTTTGTGTGTACATTTAGACTTTTATCTTTTGAATAAATTATTCTGACAGAATCTTATTTTTATAAGCATTTAAATATTTATATAATTGAAAATATTGTCAATGTTCTTATTCATACTACCAAAACCAATAGCTGCTTTTAGGAATTGTTCATTATGTGTATAGCTTAATGGAGAGGGCACTGAAAGTGTATCATTATATACAATGGGGAGGAAAGAGTCAAGGCATTATATACATGAACTTTTTTAGTGGTTTTAGTGGCAATTCTTATAAGCCAGTGATGAAAGACCTTTTCTGGATGAGAGTGGCAAGGAATTTTATAAGCTTCCAGTGAACCACACATTGTTTCTTATGCAGTTGCAGGCCTTAAGTTAGCTTTAACATACTTCATAATTATCAGTATACTAGGTACAGTACTTAAATAATATATTCTAATGATATGCAAACTAGTAATATACAGTGGTACCTCAGGATACGAAATTAATTCGTTCCAAAACTGAGATTGTATCATGAAAATGTCGTAAGGTGAATCATTTTTCCCCATACGATTACATGTAAAACCAAATAATTCGTTCCAACGAAAAAACACTCAAATTAAAGCTAAGTAGTACATTAAAAAAATAACTATAGTAAGGAAAACACTGAAAAATGCATTTTGTAGTTGTAAATGTATAAATAACCATAATAGAATAATAATTAATTTTAAAAATATATAGTTTTATTTGCACTTTACTTTTGATGATAGACGAAGGTGGCGGTGTAAACTGATGGCGGAGGAGGGGAAGAAGGGAAATGATACTAAAATCTAACCTACATAACATAATGTAACAATAACTTAAAAATAACTTAGAAAAGATTAAAATAATTAGTGTTGTTTTATATTTTTTGTTTTAATTTTTATTCACTGCTTTTTGCTTTATTTCCTTCACTTTCACCAGCACTTTCACTGGATAGAGGTGGCTTGGTTAAATATCTATCCAAAGAGGTTTGGCTTTGCCTACTTTTTAAAATGTTTATAAAATGACTTAGGCAAATGCGATTACTCCGAGCGGCAATACGGCCAGTGTGAACCTTTTCGGGATGTTTCTTTTCAATAAAATCAGTCACTTTCTGATAATACCTCAAGATTTCCTTCATCGAGCGAGATCATTCCACGAAGAAGCAAACACGCAGACTGAGACCAATGAACAGAAGTGAATAAAAAATGGCGCTGCGAACTAATGTAACGTCGTATGGTGAGTTTTTGTTCGTATCGTGGAGCAAAAATATGTTCGAATTTCATGTCGTATCCTGAAAATTTCGTATGCTGGGGCGTTCGTATCCTGAGGTACCACTGTATAGTTTATTCTCTTCTTTTCATTAGTCTGTATAGTAAAAGATAAATGTGAGTCAGCCTGAGCTGTCAGATGACAGGAGATATGTGAAAGAGATCAGATCCATCCTTCCATTCCTTTCATCTGACATAGACCCTTCCAGCTCAGTCTGATTGGGCTGTAATTTGAAAAAATTATAGACCTAAAAATTCTTGTTGTTGTCTATCCATCCGTGTGTCTGTCCTTCCTTAATCTCGAGAATGGAGTTAGATACATGAAAGTCAAAACCACATATAAAAAGCTTAGGGGCAGGAGGCCCTGATTAAACTATATATAGGAACTTCCAGTGCAAACCAGAAGGCATGTTATTTCAATTTAAAAATTTTCCCCTGAAAGAAGTTAGATGATTGGCACAACTCCATTGCTAATGGAAAAGTGTGATGTACAGTACAAGGGCAAGACACTACAGTACTAATTTGAGGTGGACAGCATATATTTTAAATTAAATAAATAAAAAATACGATTAAAAATTGCTGCCTGGCATTGTGACAAAGTCACAGTAAATAATTGCTTGTTCAGTTTATCTTTCATTGCATGGACTCTAGTCAAGTTTAGTTTGTTCTTTGTCATGAATATCAGCTTAATTAGGGTTGCAAAATGGCACAAGACAAACAGGGAAATAAAACTCCATTGTCAAAGCCCCAGGGGTCACATATTACGTAGGAGCTTGTGGGTCTAATATATAACCCATGACTAGTAAGTATGCTTACAATGAGTTCTGTGAATAAACTATCAGTTAAAAAAGTTCTGTAAATATTTTTTAAGTTATTTCTTCAATGTCAGGAAGGTCCAAGAACACTACTGAACATGTAAGCAAAGATTTGCCAAGTCAAAAATGACTCAAAACTATTCTTGTAAGTAATGGATGACAATTTATTATTCCATATAAAAATACCATAAAATGGTCTTTATTCACTCAGTTAACTCTCATTATGTCTCATTTATTTAATTAAGAAATATATATATATGTATTATGTTTGTTTACTTTGTACTTGCTTTTGCTTTGTATTTGTAAGAGATTTATTTCATTTTAAGAAATTACCTAAAAATTAAAAAAAAAATGTATATATAAAATTATCTATAAATTTTTATAAGCTTTACATGTACTGTACTTTTCTATATTTTATATATATATATATTTATTTCAACATGCTGATAATGTAAGAATTGCATCATGTAGTATTACTCATCTATATTTTTTTCCCTGTACAAATAAATAGTATAAAAATGTCCATTGACTTAATTTGAATCACCTAAAATATAACAAATGATAAGATTAAAATTTGCCAATTGGATCAGTTTGTCTTGAACCTAATTTTGACATTCAACAATATAATACATATTATAATTAATAAAAATAATGAATTCTAGATAAGTTAACATATGATAAATTTACATACCTACTTATACAGTAAAAATAAAATTTTTAGTTTCATTTTTATTATATAAACAAACATACATTTTATAAATTTTCATGTTTTTATCATATATAACTACTACAGATAAATAAAGCAAACAACTAAACTGCTCTATCAGAATTAAATTATATCGAATGGCAGTTTCTAACTTGTAATAACATTCCACAACAAAATTAGCTTTTGAACACTAATTAATAGTTTAAAATAAGTGTGAAAAACAGAGAGCATCACTAATTTTTAATGAATATCGGCTTTTGAAGCACTTTGAGCTGGCTCGTTTCTACTCCACGATCGCTTGCATTTGACATTGTTATAAACAATCCATTTTTCGTTGCCAGTTAAGATTTGCTTCAAAAATGGATCATTTACTTGATGATCAAGAAGCAAATTGCAGATGTCAATGCGACAGAGCAATTTCTTTAAGAACATGTGGAACCCATATATTGAGCTTTGAAATGAAACCAAGCCATTTCAAGTGATTATAAATAGTTGAATTAGACAAATTTAATTTCCTAGCGATTTCTTGTTGTTGTTCGTCAGTTTTTTGCAATCAATACCTTTATTTTGTCTTCATCGGCTTTGACTGGCCTTCCAGAATGTGGTGCATCTTCAATATCAAAGTTTTCGGAACAGAATTTTGTGAACCAGTTTTAGTATTGTCGTTCTGTCAACACATCATCTCCATACACAACACACAATTTTTTTTCTTGTTTGAACAGCATTCTTACCTTTTCAGTAATAAAAAAGCAAAATATGTCAAAAATGCTGCTTTTGATTTTCCATATTTGATGGTACACAAAAAAAAAAAAAAAAAAAAAAATTGCAAGGAATCAAACAAAATTTTTTATAAATAAGCCTTGAAATTTCAGCTGTCAAAATATATAATGACAATATGATTTTAGAATGAAATTGGCATGTAAAAATATAACTAATTCCTCTGGTGGTAAAAAATGAAATTACTCCGAACAACCCAATAGTTTGTGAAGTAGTAGTAGTTACTCAGTGCTCCACATTAGATAGGTGAACCACCAGTGAATGACACAATTATTTCAAGAAAAATGGGCAGAAAGTGTCTTTTTCATATACTGTGGTCTTTTGTGACAAAATTTTTATTTATAGGAAAATTAAAATTTATCAGATTTTCTTCACATAAATTTTAAGAGTTGTTAATTTTGGTAATGTTATAATTTTAATTCTGTTAAATATTTTCAAAAGATTTTTTCCTCATCTTCATATTTTTTTAAAAACAACTACATGTTAACTAATGATTTATATAACTTCTGGTTTGTAAAATGTCTATTTAAATAATTATAGTATATTAACTTTTTTAAATTATTAAAAATTAAACCTTTATTAAAAACAAATTAAAAGAAGATATTATAAACAAAATCAGAAACAAGATATTTAAATCATTTATTTTAAATTATTATATATTTAAAATAAGTTTTTTTAATATATTATTTTGTTTTGATCTAATTTTGAACTTTAAATATTTTTAAAATAAGTTTTTGTCATTTATTCCTTTTTTATAACATAAATTAATTTTTAATCAGCAGATATGCTTCTAATAATATAATAGGCTATGTAAATTATTGGTTAATCTGTAATTGTTCTCAAAAGGTTTTTGAAGATGATGGAAGAGGCCTAAGAAAGTGTTTAACAAAATAAATTTAGGACTTCTAGAAGTGAGTTGTTAATTTTGATAAGTTTACTAACAAAAGAGCATATTTTATATTTTTGAGAAATACATTAAAATTTTGTGCATACATGAACTTCCTGTTTTTCATTCTTTGGAAAGACAGACAAATCTGAAGTCATATTTCTTTTCCTCTTACAAAACAGAAAATATATGTATTAAAATTTTACTATCCACTATATAGCTTTATTGTCAATTATGTTTTCCCCCTCTGACAGTTTAAATTACAAATATAAAAATCTAACAGTACACATTGCTTATAAGCTGAACAAATAACCAACACCTAAATGTGTTTTCCAACAAACAATAAACAAAAAATTTATTGCTCAAATGTTTTCGGCCATTGTTTAGAGGCCATCATCAGGAATACATAACAGTTCTATCTGTATAAAAGGATAGGATTTGTACAAGGATTGGTACAAATTTACAATAGGATTGATAGTGATTTAAATTTGCATTTAACTTACAGGAGAAAACCCAATGTTTTCTGCCTTTTAGCTAATGCAGGAGACAGCTCAGATGACACAAAAGCACCAGGGGTGTACCATATTCCATTACAAGATGGATGATTTAACAGGCATATATTATACATCAGATCCACTTACAGATCCCTTCAAGTCAGAACATGTAACCATAAATATGATGTGACCAAAGGGAATTATAGCACAACATTTTCCCGTTATGCTGCCAAACCTGGGGTTTCCCTGTTCGGATGAAGCTACCCTTTTACATAGGTTCCTAGACCGACACGACATATGGAGACTAGAAATTTATATAGTCAGCATGAAAGGAAATTGCATCATCTCAAACTGTATTCCAGTACCACAATCATGGAAATATTATTTAGATTGCCACAGAATAATAATAATAAAAATAATAACTCTCCTGTGGTCACCACCTGGTTGTGGTGGGAGAGCCCAGTAATTTTACTGATCCACAGGGCAATGCAGGCTGGAGCACAAGCTCCTGGTAGGGACACCCATGCCAGTAAGGTCTATGGGGAGAAATGAAGCTAAGAGTGACCACACACCCACATTCTGTGGAGAAATTTATCATGGTAGTAACCAGATCTAAGTATGATACCGGCTCGGACGTTGCCTGGGTTAACAAGGTCCGTGTTCGTGAGTTAGGCAGAGGCTCACGTTCGAAAAATAGGTTCCAGTCTCCCTTGGTTACCGGTGGCGAAAGCAGCGCCGGCCCAAGCATGGCTACTGCAATGCCCTCAACAGATGTGAGGAATCAACCTAGCCTTGGTGTTTCTGTGGCAATGCATC